TTAAGCAGTGTATCTCCTACACTCTTACCAGGATTCCTGATTGACTCTAAATTGCTGTGGGCCTTGGCAGTTGTACTGCAGCCTTTACAAAAACGTCTGGGTGGTGGGGCATGCTCGTCTACCGTTGCTGATTCCCATGCTGATGGTTTCTGCATCGGGTTTCATAACCTGATCGTCGTACCAGGTGTGCCAGCCCTGCCCAAGAAGCTTTGGGCAGCAGCTGAGGATGTGCTCTAATGTCAACTTGTCTGAGCATTGTAGGCAATCTGAGGATTCCGCTGTGCCCCAGATAAGGAGGTTTGATGGGCTGGGAAGGACATTGTACACTGCATGAATCAGAAACTTGATTCATGCCACTAAATCTCGGCTTGCTAGATATCAGTCCATGTGACGCATCAGTCCATGGTGTGCTCCAACTTTGTCAATGCCCCCTGCTGCCTCATGCTGACTTCCCTCTTGGATCTCTTCTTCTCCACCCTTACTTCTTCCCTGACCAGCCTGTTTCTCCTTCTTCTTGGCCTTGTACTGGGGAGTTGGAAAGGTTCCTAGACCAGTTCTTTCCCTAGTCATTTTTTTTAATCCAAATCTCCCTGTGAAATTTGCCTAGTAATGCTCTGCCTACCATTCCATGGTCTACATATGTCAGGATTCGTTCAGTACCCATTCAGTACCCAAAAGTAGCCTAGAGCCGATGGTGAAAGTTAAGAGGTTTATTCAGACAATCTGACTGGGAAGAATGAGCTGAGGGGGTCGGGGCTGGGTCCAGGTTCTGTTGTGAAGGGAGTAGTAGGAGAAGCTGGCAGGAGAGGCAAGGTGGAGGAAAATTCAGACGACTGTGCAGACTGGCAGGAAAGACAGGAAAGACAGGAAATCCAGGAGGACAGGGCGAATCTCCTGAAGACAAACAGGAATACAGAACAAAACTAGACTTGATATCCGAGGCTGGTGTGAAGCGTACATATGTAACACAACAATCCGGCGAGGACTGGAGAGCTGGCCAGGTCTAAGTAGGGTGCGTGATGAGGGGAATGCAGATCAGGTGCGCCACCGCATAACGAGCCGGAGACCACGCCCACCAACTCCAGGCAGCCAGGGTCACGATCAGGAGAGCGTGACAACATATGTAAGTCCTCAGGATTTCCACTTTTACTACTACTCCCAGAAGTTTCTTTCCTTTTGCTTTCCTTGACAAATAGTACCATCGGGTTCTCTGAACATTCAGGAGTTTGAATTAAACCTCTATTTAGTGCTCAAGAGGGCTCTTATGATTTCTGAGCCTATTGTAATGTTAGGTTCTCTGGGTCATTCACTTTGGGAATCAATTTTTCCCGTTTTTTTAGACACTCTTTTAGACCTAAGTTTATTACACAAGAGGATGGCATTCAATAGGTCAGCCAACTCCTCCATTGGGATCCCATCTTAGTAGATTACTGCATCAAATGCCATTGGGACTGGGTACACTTGTTTGGCCCATCTTACAGACTGCTCTCAGGATTTAAGCTGGCGAGAGGGGTCATTACAATATACATCAATTGTTGATTTGTTTATTACTTTGGATTAAGTTTGTCTCTTTTTTACTTGATTTACTATATTTTTTGATCAACTTTCTTGCATTGAGACAACAAACCATATGTTAAAAGCTGTTTTTCTTGTCTTTCAATGTCGCCATTATTTGGCCTGCAGCAGTAACTACAGCGGCACTGCACAGCAAAAAAAAACTCAAACAGAACTGAAGAAATATCTTAATATTATGAGAAGACTAAACATTCACATGGCATTGAGCTCTCTTCATTGTAAAATGCAAGTGCAGTTTAATAAGTATATAAATTACCTAAAAACCAACTCAAAATAAAAAAAAGGCACAGATGTCAGTGTTTTGGCGTTTACAGTTTATCACAATTTTGGGGGGCTAAACATGCTTGAAAACTCAGGAAACTGAGCATGTGTCACAAATGACAGTTTGACATTTCATTGGTCTTGTGCAAAATGGCTTAATAGTGCAACCTGAAAGATCCCTAGTGTCCCGTTTCATTGGCATGTATGTAAATCCGGAGTATTATGTCCAAAAATACGCCAAACAGGAATTTGTCCATTTTGAATTTAATGTCCAATTTGCATATTTCCTGCTTGAAGGCGGCATATGAAAAAAAATGTATCCAAGTTTGAAGACACTAACCTACTGGCCGTAGCAGCTCAATGTGCAGCTATTGCCACAGTCAAAATCTCCTGAATCCAGTCAATTTGTACAATTTTGGTGTAACCCTTTAAAATCAAATCCAATCAGACCTCATTCAATGAAGTCGGATCTATAAAGCAGAAAAAGTAACAGATTGAAACCAAACATGTAGCAAGTTTAAAGGAGCAACCTGCCAGTGCCACAGGGAGTTGTATGATTACTCATATTGATCTACATAAAATTCCACTCCCTTGAACATAATATGCAAATGAGCCCAGAATAATGAATCTACTCAGTGTAGGGTCAGTGGCACAGAGAGCAAGGACTCCCATCAGTACAGATGCACTAACCAGGATTGATGTGCATCATGTGAAACGTACAGAGCACTAAACTTTATTGAAAATCTCTGGAAACTTTTTTTCTTTTTTTATCATTTATGCATGGAACCTGAATTCTTTGCCAACAGGTCTGATAATGTTTTTGAGGACAAAACATTTCTGTACATGGAATCAGGAGAATGTATCTGTAATTGAGCGACTCACCACCACCACATATTTATTATGTATTTTAAGTGGCTCTTTATCATTCTTATATGTGGGAAACCTCCTTTAAATAACCTCCATTCATTACTTCAAACAGCTCACATCCTACAAAAACTTACCTCATCCTTCATCTCGCTGTAGCTGACCTGCTTGTTGGGTTGTTGTTTTTGCCTTTACCACAGTACTGGCTGGTGAGCTCTTGGTTGGTATCTTGAAGATTTACTCTGTAAGGTTCGAAACAGCTTTGATGCCTTTCTGTGTACATCTTCTATTTTGAATTTGTGCTCTATTTCTGTTGACAGATATTATGCAGTGTGTCAGCCTCTGATATACAAAGCTAAAATAAATGTCTGTGTTATTCTGATCATGATCCTGGTGAGCTGGACAGCTCCAGCTCTAAATGGAATTAGCATGACATTTTTGGGAGTGAACCAAAGACAATCTAATAGGTGTGTTTTATTTCAAAATGTAAGGTTAGCAATTATGCCAATTGTTTTTGGGTTTTATTTTCCAGCTATTGTAATGGTCTGTATCTACTTAAAGATTCTGATGGTGGCACAGAGACAGGCACGCAGCATCCACAACACAACCTGTCAGAGCACAAAATCTGAAATTAAGAAGGAGAGAAAGGCCACCAAAACTCTGGCTATTGTAATGGGAGTTTTTCTCATCTGTTGGACTCCTCTCTTTCTTTGTATGACCTTTAACCCTTTGAGTAATTACACAATACCTGTTGCTGTGATTGCAGCATTTAAGTGGCTTGGATGGTCAAATTCAATGCTCAATCCATTGATCTATGCTTTCTTTTACAGCTGGTTTCGATCAGCTTTCAAAATAATAATTTCTGGGAAAATATTTCAAGGTGATTTTACGCATTCTAAGCTCTTTTGACTCATTATTTGTTTTATTTGTAATATCATTATTCGTTTGGCACAGAAGATCTCTTTTCCACTGCATGTCATATATATATAAAGTGTCTGTATGTTCAAACAGTATGTATGGTAATCTCAATGTCAATGTTTGGAAGAAAAAAAATAGGGGAAAAGTATATGTGAACAAAGGACAATCTAACAGGTGTGTTTTATTTCAGAGTTTAAGTTCAGCAATTATGGGAATTGTTTTTGGGTTTATTTCCCAACTATTGTAATGGTCACTATCTACTTGGATAGTATGACACTATGGTGGCAAAGAGACAGGCATGCAGCATCCACAACACAATTTGTCAGAGCACAAATTCTGAAATTAAGATGGAGAGAAAGGCCACCAATACTCTAGCTATTGTAATGGGAGTTTTTTTCTTTGTATGACTTTTCTATGCTTTTTTTTACAGCTGCTTTCGATCAGCATTCAGAATGATAATTTATGGAAAAATATTTCAAGGTGATTTTTCTCATTCTAAACTCTTTTGACTGTTGAAATGTCAGTAATATCGTCATTAGTTTGGCCTTGAAGATTTAAATCTTTTTTTACTGCATGTTGTATGTGCCATAAAAATTGTCATTATACTATGCATCAAGTATCCATATGTACAAACAATACGCATGACAATCTCAATGTGACTGTAAGAAACAGTAGGATATATCTCACTTTTTGCCTCATTCACTGTATATATCCAATTAAAAACGTTGCATCTGTATGCTGAATTCAGGAGTACATCACTGAATTTTTTTCTTTGTGAACAAAGCTTTAACTTGACCTTTAAGGAATTATGAAATTATGTATTATACTAGTTTTCAGTTTCATTAGTCAAAATACTAAAGAAAGCAGAATAACGGTAAAGGACTTTTTTAATTGACAGATTCTCAAAATGTAAATCAATCAAAGTAGCAAATTTTAGCAGCAAGTTGTACATTATCCACAACGCTATGAAGATTACACTGAAGAATGATAACTAAAGTTTTATTGTACAAAAATAGCTCCAGCAAAAAGTGTCAATAACAAATTATTGATACTTTATACTTTATACTTTAATTCTCATGCTCTTTGCTTTGACACTTTTAAACATGCTGTGAAACTCAGACTAAGCAGAGAACCTGTCTGCTTTTGTGGTCCCTGATAATGTGGTCGCTTCTGGCCGTTGCCATCTTGGCAGTCTTTACTCTGCCAGTTCTAGGGTGATCCAAAAATGGGCAAAGACATGGAGCGTGGTTGCAACTTAGGTAGGCCGAATGAAGCCTGGTTACTAGAAAATGCCACCTGTCACGGCAGCCATGCGACCTGTCACTCAAAGCAGGCATGCCCTTAATTAGGTATAACCTTAAGCTTTGACATCATTTAAAAGGGTGAGTTATGTCAAAATGAATCCCCTATACAGTTGTCATGAATGGTGAATTTAGCTATAGAGACTGAAACCGTTTTTGTACCAGGGTGTAAACATGTATATTTATCCTATAAAGCTGGGTATTTATGGAGCCTTATGGTGATTTACTTACTTATGTAGCCAGCCTCAAGTGGCCTTCGAGGAACTGCATTTTTTTTGCAATTTGGCATTGGCTTCAATTCCTAGTCACGAGATTGCCACTTGGTTCACAGTGCAGTATGTGCATCTTAACAACACTGATTCATGAGTGGACAATCCAATTGCTATTTTGAGACATTCAAATTTACAAAACAGTAAAAGTAGGGTTTTATTAACCCATTTGCGCCCAAAGAATATACTTTGTATGATAAGGAAAAATGACATTTGTTATAATTGGTAAAAAGTCTTGAAATTTGGTACCAACATACTTTGGGCAAGTTTTTAAAATTCAACCTAGAAATCTTTGCATGAAATGAAAAATCACAATTGTGTTTTTTAAGTCAGGATTTTTCAAAAATGAGGAAGTGTTTATTAAATGTTTTCCATATGAAATGTATTTTTAACTGCATTTGTGTGCATATCTTTGTAATTTTATTTATGAGTTCAGTGACATCAAATACTTGTTTGTGTTCCTTGTACTTTCTGAGATACAACTAATTTCTTATCATACTATATTTAGTCTTTGGGCACATGGCATGGGACTACT